CGACGAGAAGGAAAAAAAGCTTTCATTCCAGCCTGAATCCGTAGGGGGCGCATTTATCAGCCGAGAGAGAAAAAACATCATTCCAAGGATCATCACGAAGAAAATTACGAAAAGAATCCCAGTCAGCTTTAGGGTAGTAGTAGGTGGTGCGATGATAAGGTGAGCCCAAAAAAGAAGTACGAGAAGAAAGATTTATAGAGATCATTGCATGGTCAGAACCACCTAAGGGAGAAAAGGAAGAAACTGAACATAACCTAGGGTCAGAGACAAGACATAAGTCAAGGAGTGAATGTAAATGATTAGGGTTGTCAGGAAAACGAGTCACAAAGTTAACTATCTGAGTAAGAGATTGAGAAACGCAGAAGTTAAAGGCTTTAGTGCCAGCAGGATCAGTGGTGTTAGAGCCAAGCCATTCAGTGTGATGGGCATTAAAATCACCAACAACAACAATATTGGCAGAGGGGTAAAGAGAGAGGGCATGGTCAATTTGATCAGAGATAACATCTAAAAGAGTGTAATCATAGGAAGAAGGAGAACAATAAAGAACAAAGAGAAAGGTGATAGAGTGAAGAGGTGCTAGGCGAAAGTACATAAAAGAATGGTCAAAGGGTTTGAACCTAATTTCACGACAAATAGGGGAATTAATGCGTATGTATACCCCTAAACCTAGCATGTGACTATTGGAGTCTTTACGAATCAAAGGATAGTACCCATCAACACTGACATCTGAAGAAGGAATTGCAGAATTTAAATTTGTTTCACTGAGTGCAAGCAAGTCTGGTGAATTTTGCAGGAGGTAAGACTCAACTGACGGAAAGTTGCTTCGCAGACCGCGAATATTTGTAAAAGATATATTAAAACATTTAGGTGGTGCGGATGATTTTTTAGGTTTAAAATTTTTGGTTACTTTGGTCATGATTTGGGTTTAATGAGAACTTGACTCATTCATAGATAGAGCACAGCCTCCTAATCAATGAGCTATGCAGTTGTCTCAGTCCTGTTAATTAACCCTAAGCCGTGACATAGGGCTCCTTATGTGGCCTTGACAATGCACACCAAAAGCATTAACAGGGACACCATCCATGCGCAACATGGCACTGTTAATACTCTGATATTTTGCAGCTGTTGATGGAATCAGTCTCTCTGAGAGCTACCACAGAGTTCGGGAAACCTTACTACCAGCCGGCCTCAGAACTATTAAACTGAGTTTTAGAATTGTACCCTCATATGGAGATAACAAGAAGAGTTGCATAGCCATTATCAAGGAGGCATAAGCAAAATTCTATGAGTAGAGTCAAGGAGGTCCAGCATTCATCATCCTAGGCAGGAAACAATGTAACACAGGTTACATCTACGCCAGCCTAATAGATGAAGAAGGGGTTCGAGGCTGGTTAGCAGAATTTTTCTGCTTACACCTAAAGTCTTTGCCTAGGAGGCCTTCTACAAGACAGTAGTAGGGCGCAGTTAACATCTGCCCAAGATGAGTATTTTTATCGAGACACCATCTCTAGTCTTTACTTAACCAAGAGCCCCAAGGCAGGGGAATTTTTAGTTGAAGTTTATTTCTCCTAGCCTTTGCCTAAGGAAAGCACACTCTGCAAGGCAGCAGGGCTTGTGGCAGGTGGTACTGGGTTACGTGATACCAGTAGCAAGATTGATCTTGATTATCCTGACCTGACCTGGAGTAGTTAAAAGGAGTTACTTCCCACGACAGTACTTGGAGAAAACCAGACATGACATTTTGGAAGTGCATTAGGAAAAACACTGCATCTAACAAAATACAGGAGTCTAAGGTGAGTGTAGGTTTTGTAGTTGGAGTAAGTAGCTAGTTACTGAGCTCACGCTGCATAAGAGAATAAACAGAACACAAACAAACATAAATCAACTTACGGGTGAGTGAACACCGCGCCAGAGGTTCAGACAGAACACAAACATACATATAAAGTAGATTACAGGTGAGGTAATACAGTAACTAAGGCACCTCCAACTATATTAAAAAAAAAAAAAAAAAAAATTACTTCAGGCATGACTGATATAAGATAGTACTGATGACAGGAAGCACACTCCTTCCAGCCTTTGCTTAGAAAGCAAATCCTGCAAGGCAGCAGAACATCTAACAGGTTGCACTGAGTTACATGTTACCAGTAGCAGGATGATCATGAAGACCACACTCCTGACCTGACACATGACTCTAAGAAACTCTAAGAAATAAAAAAGACAACCATTACACAGTGGGAAATCACATGGCCAAAAATTAAAAAAGTGACTTAGTTTAAATATTATGTCTAATAGTGGGTTTTATTAGTAATACCCTCACTAAGAATTTTCCAAATTATGAAATTCTAAATGTAACAGGTTCAATAGTAATGGTTTCTTGAAGTTATGTTTTTAATTAATTTTTGATAAAAATTTTCAATATGCTGGATTTCAGTAACTATTATTTTTTAATATAATTAAAAAATCATTAAAAAATTGAGAGTATATAAATCATTGGAAAGGTGTTAATTTAGACTGTTTAAAATAAAAAATAAAAAGTTTCTTGAAAAAGTTAGTACTACAATTTTTAGCAGTGAAAGTAAAGAAGTCATCATAAAAGTACTAAATTTTAACAGTGATGAAGAATTAAAAAATTTTTTCAATTTGTGTCTTTTCCATATTTTGATATTTTTTAGTCTATAGTATCTATGAACTAGACTAAGAAGTGTGGCTATGATCATCCGCATTCTTGAACGCTAAATAATTTTGAAAAATGAATGTTAAAAACAAATATAAAGCTTCTTCAAATAAAAACAATTTTTTTCATTCATTACTAAAAGTAAAAAAAAAAAAAAAAACTACTTTAAGGCATGAAAGAATAAAATAAATTTGTTTTCATGTTGTTATTGAAATTAAAAAAGTTAATTTTGATTTTGATTTTATGAGTATATGGTTTTAAAAGTACATAAATAATTTAAAAAAAAATAATTCTCAAGTGCATTTTTATTGTCCCACTAATCAACCAAAAATCGCATGACTTTCTAAAAGTTTTTACTTTTTAAGTTTATTGTTGTGAACTAAGAAATCATTCAAAATTCTGCTCTAGAAAAATGAAAAAAAAGCTCTTTATTTTTCTATATTTATCTTTCATATTTCCAAATTTTATGAATTGTTTTAATTTGTAATCTTTGGTATAACCAATAAAATCAAGTGTGCTTTTTATTTTGGTTTTTGAATAACCAATATTTTGATGAGGTTAAAAGCTATATATCGACAAACATGTGCTTTATATTTATTGACTTTTGAAATTGGAATAACAACATGAACTTGTATGTTAGCAATTTTTCTTGTTTCTACCTTTTTACACTTAGTTCTTCATAAAAGTGTGGTAAGTTACTATATCAAAACACACATGTGAACATCAGGTTATAAATTTTTTCTTATAGCTTATTATGCTACAATGCTTTGTAATCTTTTATTACTACCCAGCTAACATAAAACGTTCAACGAACGTTGCAAACGTATAAGAACGATCATAGAACGTGCTTGAACAATCGCAACGTTTCATTGAACGTACTTGAACGTTTTGTGTTTGCATGGTATACACTGCTAAAGGCAATCTAAATCAGCTCTTTCTTACAATTGCTTTTAATATGAGAGTGTTGCAAATTATCTGGGGTAGCTATAGCAACCAATAAGCAATATTCTCAAACTTAAAATCTTTTAGTGTTGTATACTTATATGAAAAGTTAAATAAAACTTAAACTTAAAACTTATATCAAGTTAATAATATTCTATTGATATTACTAGAATGAATTGTCATTCAGATCTGAATGACATTTGAGTTATTATTGAAAGAAAAGTATCTTTAAGTGTAGAGTTAAATATACTTTCCTTTTAATAATAATTCAATTTTGGAGAATTGGTAATGTTCATAGTCCTTATGCATTTGTACGCATGTATGACCCACAACAGGCTCCTGATTTTAATTTTCAAAAGCTGTTAAAATGGTGAAACATGACTAAACAAATCTCTTCTCAAAACATTCACTATGATAAAGACTTCTAAAAGTCTTCATCATACTTAAAATGATTTTGTTGAGTTGTCAAAGTTTCTCTAATCTACAAGTCATAACTATGTTTTGCCCGGGACAACTGATTTTCTAGAAAAGCTGTTTTAGAAAACTGTGACAAGAATCAGACAGTTATTTATTTTATTACTATACAAGAAATGTTGGTAACAAACAAAGTTTTAGACAAAACTACTTTTGCAATTAAACAAATATAGCATTAGTCTTGATTTTAGTAAATCAAGAAATTCTTGTGAAAGATGTGGTTTTTACTTAAATAAAGACAATTGTTTGATACTTGATATTTTACCAGAATTAAAAAGTATATTGTTTATAAATGCTAAAATAACTAGCTTACATAGCTGGGTATATTGTCCAAAATGACAAATATTTATGTGACTCTTATTTAAAGAAATTAAGAAATTTTACAGAGGAAATTGATTGTGGAAGATTAATTGTGTCTGGTGATTTGGTATGTCAATTATGTATTGTGAAGTGTCTGATATTATCTTTTTTTAATTTCTTTTTTTTTTACAATCTGATGATGCACAATGTCAGAATCATATTAAAAGTTAAAGGTCTGACAAAGTACTAAAACAAAAAATTTTGTTATTATTATTTATTTGACAACTAGTTTTTAAATTACATAGGTCAACAAAAATTGTTTTCTGTTGAAAAAAATTTTTAATTCTGTTAAAAGTTATCATCTTTATTTAAATATTTTTTATACATTTTATTGTTTGGTCCTTTTCTTCCTTGAAAATTAATTTTTAAATTTAGTCCACTATTTTTTCTGTACTTTGCATTCTGATATAAACTTTTGGATAAAAATGTTATACTTAATACTTTGCAGTTACAATAAAAATAAAATTAGTCCAAAATTTATTTAGTTGCAAAATTTTTTTATTAAGATCAAGATTTTTTTGTAATAATCTGAAATTTTTTTTTTATCAAG